CACACACACATTATATATATATATATATATATATATATATATATATATATATTCACCCATTTGAGGAGACCAGGCTATAATCGCTAATTTGCCTTTGTCTAAATGGTCTAAATGTATTAAAGTTAAGGAAACGCTGAAAGAAATGCTGTTAAACGGACAACTGAAGGGCCTATATGAGCAAATATTATGTGAATATAAGAAACTCTTTGGTGAAGTGAGTATACACTCAAAAATTTGGTGTATACTTACGAAATTTTAATTTCCTCAGTAACACGTATGAGGCACACACCCGGTTACTGCTAAAACTTTTTGCCATCAGTCAACTATCAGTGTTGTGCAGAAGTTGGTTACTTTGAGGAGTGAGAAATTTTATGTTAACTGCATGATAGTTATTGTAACTGCTCTTGTTTTACCGTCACGTGATCTCGCGTTACCCTTGACCATGACTATGCAGTCGCTTTGACCTTGACATCACAGTCTTGTGAATAATAAACAGAGGGGCTGGACACCACCACAAACAAGGTGTTATTTCCCTGTCTAGACGGCGAGAGTTAATGACATACCATAAATACATAAAAAAGGAAAATGCTCTGATTATCCGATATCCTTGTCATTGTGAAAATGTACACTGTGTATAACCGTTTTTTTTTTTTACTTCTCGTACAATTGAACACTCCGCTTTTCCTCTTCCGCGAACCCTTGCCCGTATAAGTTTTAAACCACCAATGATTGTATTCTCTCATCATGAGGTGTAGGTTATATTGACCACGAAGGCAGGTAGTGCATTTAGGCTACGTCTGCAAAAGACCGTGTTCACAGAGATGACATCTTGTGTTATTTCCATAGGCGCGCCGAGAAAAGATGGGTACTTCTTCCCAAATATTAAGAGATGCATCCATGGTCACGTCAAAAGGTATGGCTAGTTTTTTTTTTTATTTGTAGTGAATATGCACAATGCCTTGGTGTTTTAGATAATTTATGAATATATAAATGTGTGCATTTTTTTAATGATCTTATATTGATGCACTTGTTCTGTCAAGCTAACATTTTCTATGTCTGGTTAGGCGCAAGGCCTATTCAATATATGCATAGATCTATTATGAGCAATGCGGGGGAAAGAGAAAAGAGACCGTCTTCGAATTGTTTTTTTTCCACCTACACAAACACAACACCCTTTACGATTTTCCCAATGCCCTTGTTTTCGTTCATTTATTGCATAA